AATAGCATGGTTTCAAGTGTCGATTCTATAATGGATTACCATTTTCCCTCTCTTGCCAAGTCCTTTCAAGATGTGAGCAGAACCCTCTCCCCTATTGATCCTTGTATAGCTATTGTCTCCAATTATTTCTCTTAGCAGTAGATATCTGTTCAAGAAGATTAATATAGGAACACACATACCCCTTTTAGGGTTAAGATAGACAAACTAGATTCGATACACAGCAACTCTCCCCTTTTAAAATTTTTATCGCCCTAATGGTCCTTTTATTAGGTCTCTGTTTGAAGATGGCTTAGCCATAAGATGGTTTCTTTTTAACCTATCATTAGTTTAATGGCTTATCATTATTTTCTTCTAGTTAGATGTACCTAAATAGTAAAACTTTGCTAATAAACTTGGCCAAGTCCAGCATTAAAAAAAAAAAAAAATATGCATTTTAAAAAATTCAAAAAGTTTTGTTACATATTGTAATTATTTTATAATCATATAGGTTTTGGTTAAAAATAATAATTTGATTACAAAATTTTATAAATTAAAAAATTTTATAATGATTCAAAACCTTTAATGATCATATATATTAATATAATAAATAGATAGCAATTATATAATTATGATATCTATAAATATAGTTTTATTTTTTATTTTTTTTACTTTAACCCTTCATCTCTTTTTTCTTTTTCTTACTATTTAAAGTTACTTAATTATGAGTAAATACTTATTTTTCTTTTGCACATATCAAGTTTGATTTGTGTTAAATATTTAAATTTAATAATAAATAATTTTAATTTTTTATAGCTGATAATGATTTAATGTGATCATTATACTTTACTTCTCTTTATAATTTCAATCAATATATTGTATTCATAAAGTCAAATTTATTGATAATAAAATAGAAATAACATATATCAATGGTACTTAAAAACAATTTATATTTGTTGTTTCTACCACAGATGTTATGAAAGAAAAAATTTCAAAAAAGCTAGACACCATTCTTGAAATAAGAAACAATGTAAACACAGATAATGAAAATCTAAAAGTAAAATATAAAGAATTTGTAGATATGTATTTTTTTTTAATTTGTAATTATTAATCATCATGTTATATATTAATTTTATTTATAATTTTTATAATGGAAGTTGGCTCAAGCATAAATAAATTGATATAGTCAATCCAACATATTGATAAAAAAAAAAATTTGTATATTAATAATTTTTTTAAAAAGTTTTACTAATAAAACAAATTTTTAGATTTAACATGCAGAACTGAATCAATAAAGTCTATTCAACTAAATATATGTACAGTATATGAATATATACAGTATATATTTAAAACAATTCAAGATTGGTTTTTGTTCCTTCATTAATTATATCTATTAAAATAGGCAAATCAAAAAAGCAATTAAGTAGCAAAATAGGCAAACCAAAAAAGTGATTGAATAACAAAATAGGCAAATCAAGAAAAGTAAAAGGACAGGTGAATAGCAATAATAATAATGACAAATATAGCAAGGAGATACATTCAATTTAATACAAACTAAGTCTGACTTGTGTTACTTTGCTAATTCTATTTATTAAAATAGATGAATTGAGAAAAAAGAAAGGGTGGGTAAGTAGTAATAACAATAGTGATGAATATAATAAAGATAATATAGGTTTATTCAATTTAACAAAATCTGGATCTGACTTATATTACTTTATTGATTCTATTTATTAAAATAGATGAATTAAGAAAAAAGAAAGGATAGGTAGGTAGCAACAATAGTGATAGTGAATATAGTAAGGACAATATAGATATGTTCAATTTAATACAACTTAAGTTTAGCTTGTGTTACTTTGCTAATTCTATTTGCTAAAATGGATGAATTAAGAAAAGGAAAAAGGTGTGTGAATAGTAATAGTGATGATAATGAATATAATAATGACAATATAGGTTTATTCAATTTAACACAACTCAGATTTGAATTATGTTACTTTATTAATTCTATTTGTTAAAATAGACAAATTGAAAAAAGAGAAAGAATAGGCAGGTAACAACAATAATAATAGCAAATATAGTGAAAACAATATAAATATATTCAATTTAATACAACTCAAGTTCAGCTTGTATTATTTTGCCAATTCTATTTGCTAAAATAGATGAATTGAGAAAAGGGAAAGAGTAGGTGAGTAGTAATAGTGATTGTGATAAATATAATGAAGACAATATAGGTTCGTTCAATTTAACACAACTCAGATCTGGCTTATATTGCTGTTACTTTATTAATTCTATTAGTTAAAATAGACAAATTAAGAAAAGAGAAAGGACAGGTAGGTAGCAATAGTAATGGTGTTGAATATAATGAGGATAATAGACTGTAGGTATGTCCATTTTAACACAATCCGAGTTCAGTTTATGTTACTTTACTAATTCTTATCAATTTTATTTAGAAAAATTGAAAAAAGGAAAGGAATAAATAGGTAGTAATAATAATAATAGCAAATATAGTGATGGTGAAATTGAGATACTTCCAAAAAAATATTAACATCGATATATTCTATTTAACATAATCTAATTTTGAATTATTTTATTTTATTAATTTATTATTGAATTAGGTAAACTAAAAGGAAAGGAAAGAGAAGGTTATAGCTATAAGAATACTGAAAATAAACATAATTATAGTTTTGTTAATTTTATTTATTTTTAATAATACTAAAATAAATTTTATCTTTAGGAACCAAGATCCAATTGAAGGTATCAATGGGAGGATTAGGGAGTTTCCCGATTAGGAATATAACTATGCCTAGCCGGCTCTAGCTCGTCTTTTACTATAGTGACCTTTTTTGGCTATTGTATATCTATTTGGTCTTTTTTCGCCTTGAAATATGTCTAGAAATCTATTTTGCTTTCTTGCTTAGCTGAAGACTCTGAAAACTTAATTTTGATGACGAGTGTTTTGCTTTTTATGACACATTTTTATTATACAAAGAATATATCATATAGCTATTTGATCTTTTTTCACCTTGAAATATATCTAGATAACATTTTAGCTTTCTTACTTAATTTGAGTCTCTGAAATCTATTATTACTAGCTGTATAAGGGTGCAAAGCACCCGCAAATGCGAAGCGAAGCGGAGCATCTAATTAGCATATTGTTTTCTAATGTTTAGAGTCCCGCCTCTCTTATTGCCTTTTCGAGATTCGTTTACGCTGGTTCTTATCGTGAAGCATGTTTAATATAGAAATATTTTCTAACCTAAATACTGTATGTATAACGAAAAAAGTTTATGCATGTTTCACGAGCTTCTACGCTGGTCACTGATTCGTCGGTTAAATACATAATTCGACTTATGTACTCATATGTACCTGCTATTATAATCCACCTCCAGCAAGAAAACACGAATTAGATTTAAAAGAGCCATAAGGAGAATAGGCTTATCATTTCTTAATAGTGGTTTTATCAAAGTTCATATATTACAATGACTTAGCATTTCCCAGATCATTTGACTTTTTTTACTTTGCTGGCAAGATCGTCGAAATTAAGGGGAGGCAATCGCAGGTAAAACCTGACTCACATTAAGTGGTTAACCGAAAAAATGACGAAATATATTTGGTTTTGGAATAGATTTGGCTATTATGTGACTACCTCCGGCAATGGCTCTGGACAATATAAAATACAAGACTTTTTTTCTCCTGTGAGGTGGGTTCAATAACGTTTAAAATCACTACTTCGAAGTAATGTATCGTTTCACAGCCACAGGTTATACACTGTTTAATTAAAATATTTGTATTTACCATTATTTTGTATTTAGGATTGTGAAAATGAGTAGCAACAAAGATAGCACCGTCAAGTCTATACCTCCGAAAGCAATGATAATAACACCTTCCAAACTAGGGACAATTCTTCCAATACTAATAACAATAACCCCGGGACTGTCATTCAAACACCATCTAATCTAAGATCTAACCAAAGGACATCTAATCCTAATCGTCAACGAAATACTAGGAGAAACAGACGTGGTAAGTATAATCTCCCCGAATATGTTTGAAGTCAAAAAATAACAAAGTATATATTCATATTTATTAATTTAGACGATCCAGACTATGACCCTGAAGATGATGACAATTTTCATGAAAGAAATCCTCTTTATTATGTTTCGACGGAATATGCACAATATTGTTTAGATAATGGTGATTATTCTCGTTTAAGTCGTAAGGAGGCACTAGATATTTTAGATCAACAATAATGGTCTGACTCATAGCGAAGCTGAAGCAAAGCTTTATTTTTTTATTTGTATATTATAAACATTCTGTGTCCTGCTTCACAGACTGCCGTCTGGCAATTTTTTAAAAAATAAAGAAATTCCGCTATATAATGCTGATTTACACATGACATCGCTTCCTTGCCACGATCGAAGTAATCATTGACCAATGGCTCGAACAAGACTGTTTAATAAATTAATTCGTTCTAAATCAGTAAATTCTAATGATACTCTAATTGCAGAAATAAGATCTGTTAAATTTAATGTATTAGTTGAAATCATTCTATTAGGTCCACCGGTAAAGATAACGCTTCGAGATACCCTTAATGGATCTGGAATAAGTGAATGTGTATTCTCACTCTGTATGTTGTCATCGGGGTCAGAACCAGAAGTATCAGATGATCCAGAATCAGACTGTTCATATGATGAATCGTAATTTTCAATATGTATACTTGGATTGAGTCGTCTTACTACCTTTTCACTAATATTTTCACAACTATTCACATCAAGATATTTTAAATTAGGACACGAACGGGCTATTTCTTCAATTGTTTTATCGGAAATGTCACAAAATCCAAGTTTAAGATGCTGAAGTTTAGGACAAGAACGAATAACATTGCATATCGATGGTTCGGTAATGAAATTACACCCTTCAAGATCAAGATATTCTATTTCGTGGCATTTATGAGCTAGTGCCTCAACAACCTCATCGCCGACATCATTATGGGAAATATTGAAATGTTTTAAATTTGGAGAAGACCTGATAATAGCTACAATAAGAAAATCGTTTCGAAAAGCCATATCATAGGTGACATCAAGGTACTCTAATTTGAGGTGCGTTTGTACTAACATACTAGCATCTTTGATTTTTCCACGACTAGCCGGTATACCTAAGCATCGTAAATTAGAGCATGAGTTTAAAATACAACTTATAGTTCTATCAGTAATCCAATGCGCTTCATTAAAATAAAACTCTCTCAAATTACGACACGATTCCGCAATTGCTATCAATGATTTATCGGTAATACCTCTACAGTAAGAAATACTTAGATATTCTAATTTATTGCACGTTTGCGCAATCTCACATAACCCTCTATCAGATATCATTTGATTATCCCATAAATTAAGGTGTTTTAAATTTGGGTATGATGAAGCTATTCTAATTAATGTCTTATCACTAATGCCCACGCTATTTTTAAAGTCTAAATAAATTATATTTGGGCAGTAATTTATGATAGATCTAATTAATTTGTGTGTAATTGAATGATAATGTGAAATTTTTAAGTTTTTCAGCTTTGAAGCATAAATTGGTTTTTTCTTCCTGCATATTAATTTTATGAAACTTTCTAACCGCGTTCGATATCGTTCACAATAATTATATTCATCTGGGAAATAATGACCGTAATGGATATCATTACCTTTTAACTCAACTCTCCTCCATAGTAGTGGTATACCACATTGGTACCAAAGTTGATCAACAAACAGAGCGGGATAGAGGGATCGATCGATTTCTAAAAAATATAAGATCTGTTCTAGTAATTCCGGTAAATCAAAAATACTTTGTTGCGCCATTCTCAAGAATATATATTATATATCTTTAATCGAAAAAATAGACACAAAATGTCCTGCTCTGTAGACTAATGTTTGAATGATCGATTTAGGCACGTATATTATTTATTTTCTTGATATTTTCAACCATGCTTAACGGATTTTGAAAGTAATTTTACCCGTTGATGATATCGATCTTCGACTTGTTTCATAAATAATCTGCCTGGTCGATAGAGCCATTCAATTACTGCATGCTGAATTATTTTAGCGGAATTAATTTGTCTTCTCCATAAACGATATGTCTGCTGGATAATTAATGATGCACGATTCTTTTAAACAATGCTAATTGAACTTTAAAATTTCTATATTCAGGGTCATTACCTATTTGTTTATGGCTGGTTAAATTATTTTTGATACGAAATACAAAATTTTCCCAGTAATCTCTATTATTTATTTCATTTCCTAGTTTTAATAAACGCTTGCGTACATACTTTGGTGGATAATATTTTTGCAAACCGTAACCATGCCATGCTTCTGACGTTTTAATATTGTTAATGATATAATTTTCACCATATTCACTTAACCTGTCTCGCACTCTGCTATAACTCATTATATATTTACTACTTATTTCAGACGTATTTAATATGGTTTTAATTTTGCGTATATAAATGATTAGAAGATTAAAATCAGATGCTACATGCTTATCACCCGAAGCAATTAGTGATATAATTACTGCCTTTTTTCTCACAGGTCCAGCAAATGCATTACGGGATCTAGCTAAAAAATATAATGTATCATATGCACGAATTCGTGAAATATGGGAATTTGATATTGCGATAAATAATTAATATTTATTGTATAGTTGTGCCATTCTCAAACTTGTTTAGCTTCTCTACTAGCTCATCTAATGACAGGTCTGTTCCACATCTTCTGGCTTCTAACTGGTTATCACGAGACAATCCACGGAGGAAGTATTCCTTAAGGTAAATTTCGTTATTATTTAATCCCAATACTGTTATGTAATATTTCACAATCTCATAATAATTTTTTACTGGTAGGGATATTTGTTTTGGTGGTGGGAACTCTCGTGGAATATCCAATAATACATCGGTCCCATCAAGCAATGTGAGATTATGATTGGGAAAATTTATTTCAGACATACTGTATTTGCCTGAATCCATGGTGAACCTAATAATAGGGCATGTGCAAATTCGGGTTTATTAGAAACTAAAATATTGTTAACTTCTACCTGTTTCCATTTATTATCTTTAGACCGGAAAGAGGGGTTTATTTTATGAACCATTCCCAATATTGGTATGCTATCTTCTATAGTCTTACAATGTGAGAATGATATTGCATCTAAATTATTCGGCGATTTTTCAGATGGAAAAGAGATTAATAGTTTTGCTTCTTCTTTATGGGAAGTATCAATCTCTAAGCCTAGTACATCTACTAAACCCCTGCCTATAATATTACAATTGGTGGCGGTATCTAATATAGTTTTAACTGATACTTTGTTAATTTCGCAAGATAAAATTCTCATCGTGATGTTTTATTATAACAGTATATTTAATTCTGCATTTTTTAAATTCGTATTTATAAAATAATTTAACTATTACAATGACCGAAGCTGATAATACTGAGACAATGCAAAGTGTCTGTAAAAAATTTGAAGCAATGTTAAAGCAACAGAGTGTAATTGATTCAGGTTCAGAATGTCCAATTATCACTTATGAGATTGCGAAAAAATTGGGTTTTGTAAAAGATAAAAGTTTACCCAATATTAC